AGGGGGTGGATGTATGAGGGTGATCCGTTCCAGGCCTTGAGGGAGAGGGAGGAGGCGAAGAGGGTGGCGGTGAAGAAGAGGGCGCAGGTTCAGGCTGCGAGGGAGAAGCAGCTGCAGGAGCAGGCGAGCTTTGGGGGGGTACTGATGAGGGGACCGGGTGGGGGGTCGGGAGCGGGAGCGGGAGGAGGAGGTGGTGGGGGGGCGAGTAATTTGATGAGGGGGTGGGCTACGGTGCCCAAGATTGAGATGGGTGGGAAGACTAGGACGCAGCTGGAGGAGATTTTGAGGAGGGAGACGGTGTGGAATCCGCATGGGGTGGTGATGACGGAGAGGCAGAAGGGGGAGATTGTGAGGGAGTTGAAGGGGCTGGGGTTTAGGCAGAGCCATGTGGAGGAGGCGGTGGAGGAGTGTAAGGATCGGGAGGAGACGTTGGAGTGGTTGTTGGTGCATATTCCGGAGGATGATTTGCCTAGGTGGGCGCTGCCGGAGAAGTATAGCGCGGGAGTTACGGTTGCTGCGACGGATTTGAGGAGGGAGGGGGCGATCAAGCGGTTGGCGGAGTCGGGGTATTCGGTTGATTTGGTGAGGAAGATCTATGATGCCAATGGGGGTGATGAGGGGAAGGCTCTTGCGCTCTGCAGGAGTTGCTCTTGGCGAGCGGGAGTGGTGAGCAGGAAAAGGCGCAGGAGGAAGAGCTTGATACCTGGAGGGACTCGGATGAGTGCTGGGAGGAGGAGATGGCTACTCTCGAGGCGAGCTTTGGTGATCTCTACTCGAGCAGCTCGCCTGAGGTGTGCAAGATTCGACTGGAGGGGGTTGTTAACGGGACTCACAAGGATGTGGAGACATACTTGCAGTTCCGAAAGTCGCCCGAGTATCCTGCGCAGGTCATCTTGGCCATCGAGGCCCAGCTTCCGGCGTACATCAAGTTGAGCATCATCAAGAAGGCGTTGGCGTATGCGAGGGAATCACTGCAGGGCGAGGAGACCAAGATTTATTTTATCGTGGATTGGATCCAGCAGAATATCAACGAGATTATCGAGAAGCCAGGCGCTTTGAGAGATGTTGCGGCAGTGGCATCGGCTGCCTCAGAAGTACCAAGACCGGTGGTCAAGTCATCACGGAAGCGGCAACGGTACCCGAAGCCCATCAATTGGACACCAAACCCGCAGAGCAAGCAGGAGTGGTTGGCCCGGACAGAGGCTCCCAACTACAAGAAGATGGCGGCGCAGAGAGAAAGACTGCCGGCTTGGCAAGTCAGGCAGAGAGTTGTCCAGACTGTTCAGCAGAACCAAGTCACCATCATTTCTGGAGAGACGGGTTCCGGAAAGTCTACGCAGTCTGTTCAGTTCGTTCTGGATGACCTGTACGATCGGGGTCTTGGGGGGAGTGCCAACATTATCGTCACCCAGCCCCGTCGTATCTCTGCTCTCGGTCTTGCCGACCGTGTGGCTGAGGAGAGATGTACTCAGGTTGGGCAGGAGGTCGGTTTCTCGATTCGTGGCGAGCACAAGACAAGCCCGAGTACCAAGATCACTTTTGTGACCACTGGTGTGTTGCTCAGAAGATTGCAAACTTCTGGTGGCAGGGTTGAAGATGTGGTGGCATCTCTGGCTGACGTCAGTCACATCGTTATCGATGAAGTCCACGAGCGTAGCTTGGACACGGACTTCTTGTTGAGCATTGTTCGCGATGTTCTTTACAAACGGAGAGATCTCAAGCTTATCCTCATGAGCGCCACTCTTGACGCGTCTTCGTTTAGGGATTACTTCATGGTAGACAAGCAGAACGTCACGGTCGGTCTGGTCGAGATCGCGGGCCGCACATATCCTGTCAATGACTTCTACCTAGACGACATCATCCGTATCACTGGCTTCAGTGGTGGAAATCTCGGTGGTAGGAACGACTACTACGACGACAGCGCAAACCAAGCGTCTGGCAGAGATGTCGACCCCGTCAACAAGATTATCCAGAGACTGGGACACCGGATCAACTATGACCTGCTTGCTGATGTTGTCAAGGCAATCGATGAGGAGCTGTCAAGCTTGCAGAAGGCCGGTGGTATCTTGATCTTCTTGCCCGGCGTGGCAGAGATCAACAGAGCGTGCAACGTCCTGCGATCAGTCAGCTCTCTTCACGTCTTGCAGCTTCATGCCTCGTTGGAGACCAAGGAGCAAAAGAAGGTGTTCTTGTCACCGCCACCTGGCAAGAGAAAGATTGTCGTCGCCACCAACGTTGCTGAGACGTCCATCACCATCGACGACATCGTTGCCGTTATCGACAGTGGTCGTGTCAAGGAGACGTCATTTGACCCCCAGAACAACATGCGGAAGCTGGAAGAGACTTGGGCTTCTCGGGCAGCTTGCAAGCAGCGCCGTGGCCGTGCCGGTCGTGTGCAAGAGGGCAACTGCTACAAGCTCTACACACGAAACCTTGAGCAGCAGATGGCTGAGCGGCCTGAGCCTGAGATCAGGAGAGTTCCTCTTGAGCAACTGTGCCTGGCTGTGAGAGCGATGGGTATCCGTGATGTCAGCCATTTCTTGTCTCGGGCGCCGACGCCCCCTGAGGTGACAGCGGTCGAGGCGGCTATCAATATGCTTCGTCGGATGGGCGCTCTGGATGGCGATGAGCTGACGGCTCTTGGTCAACAACTGTCCTTGATCCCAGCTGATCTGAGGTGCGGTAAGCTCATGGTTTATGGTTCGATCTTCGGCTGCCTCGACGACTGTGTCAGCATTGCCGCCATCCTCAGCACCAAAAGTCCCTTCTTGTCGCCGCCAGACAAGCGTGAGGAGGCCAAACAGGCCAAAATGCGCTTCGCTAGAGGCGACGGTGACCTGCTCACTGACCTCCGCGCCTACCAAGAATTCGACGCCATGATGTCGGATCGCGTGCCTCAGCACCGCATCCGCCAATTCTGCTCCGAGAACTTCTTATCGTATCCCACCATGTCAGACATCTCTTCCACCCGCACCCAGTTTTACTCCAGCTTGACCGAGATGGGGATCATTCCCCGTTGGTATAACCCTCAAGCCTCACAGCAACAACAGCAGCAGTCGATGGTCCTCCTTCGTGCGTTGACAGCCTCTGCATTTTCCCCACAAATCTGCCGCATTCAGTTCCCCGACAAGAAGTTTGCTGCTTCCATGGCTGGTGCGGTGGAGTTGGATCCCGAAGCAAAGACGATCAAGTACTTTGCTCAGGAGAGCGGGAGGGTGTTTATCCACCCCAGCAGCACGCTGTTTGACTCGCAGGGGTTTTCGGGGCACGCGAGCTTTGTGTCGTATTTCAGCATGATTTCGACGAGCAAGATTTTTGTCAGGGATTTGACGCGTAAGTTTGTCCTGTTCTTTTTGAAGTGGTTGACATGGTGGGCTAACAAAAAAATAAAAAAAATAAAAATAGCATTCAACGCTTACACCCTCCTCCTCTTTTCTGGCGCCATTGAACTCGACACGCAGGGTCGTGGCCTGGTGGTGGACGGTTGGTTGAGACTGAGAGGCTGGGCGAGAATCGGTGTCTTGGTGTCGAGGCTGAGGGGCGTGATCGATAAGCTGATCGAGACAAAGGTCGAGAACCCGGGTGTGGACTTTGACAAGCAGAAGCAGGATGTGATCAGGTTGGTGGTGAAGATGATTGAGTTGGACGGGATGGATGCTTAGATGGGATTAGATAAAATGGGGTAGAATAGAGAATGGATGGATGATTTACGAACACTGTTGGGCTGTCCCAGGTGGTCGTGGTGGTAGATGCAGCTTGGTTATTATCGACAGCAAGAGAGGTGACACTGGAAGGAGCAAAGAAACCATGGTTCATATATTAGGTCAACCTCACAGCTTCCAACACCAACTTCAATATTCTTCTACCAGGGCGCCCTTGTGGTCAGCACAAATGGTTAAGGATGTGGGAGCTTGCTGTTACTGCGCCCCCCCCACCCAAGCCGCGAGCTTGCAACCGATAGCTCCCGAGTTCGATTCCGGAGTAAAACCCACCCTAATAGGTTTTCGTAGCCGGCCACCTCTTTCAGACACTGGTCTGGGCGGGTTGGCCAGTGAGCTTTTTGGGGTGTCTAACATGAGTTAACCTATATTATATTGTGAGTTATGCCTTTAGGAGTAAAGTAATAGGCCGGTGTACGAGCAACATCACGACGGGCATCGTTTCATCCCAACACTCCACCGACAAAATGTGCCAGATCACGCTCATCCACACCACCCCTGCGGTCACGTCATGCCCCTGGTGGCCTGTTGCCGGGGTGCCACTCTTGTTCCGCTTGACAACCACACCTTCGCGTACAGTTACTGTCCCTACTTCACTTACGATGAAGATTTCGAGAACTTCAAGTGTCCTTCAAGTTGTTATTGCCGGGTTGAGGGACGGGATAGTGCGCGGTGGGGGGTTAATTTGGAGAGGTTCAAGGCAGCCTCGAGGCCGGACCTGAGGAGACTCGAGTCCCCATCCTTGAGCGGTTATGCGAGGGCTGGGAGAGGGCATGAGGATATGGTTTTGCAGTTTTTGAGCGAGAAATGAGTATAGCGTAGCGGCATTGGTTTCTGTTTCCGTCCAACCTCTGAGATTCACCCCGAACTTTTGCTCTTGACGACCAGACCAAATGGAAGTGAATCGTTGCGCCTCGCCTCAAGTGAAAGACCATGCTCCTCTTGAGGTGAATAGATGACGAGTGGTTCTTCTCGTCCCAGAGGAAGTTATACAAACAGCTTCCTTTCAGTCTGCAAACTCTTTCCTTTTCCTCTCTCGATATCCATCAGATACATCAACGGGATCATCAGTCAGGTACATCTTCTCGCTACATTTAGCTTCATCACTCAACCAGTTCCACGCCTCACCCACCACACACCAATCATCCACCTCGAGACAAGATGTGCGAGAACAGAATCTGCTACTACGCCTGCGGCCATACCGACATGGACGTGGTCTACTGCAGTGCTGCCAAGGCTGTCGCGCCTGGTTCGGCCCTTCGCGTTTGCTGCGTGAACGTCACTTGATAGCTGCCTCAAAAGAGAATGTGAACCGTGCTGCTGTCAACCTCTGTGTTGCTTGCAATTCAGCTACTTATCAAACGTAAAGAAATAGTTAAAAAGCCTCAGAAGATAGTCAAGAGACATTAAAACATGGTTCAAAGGCTCTTGAAATAATTTAATGGCCTTGCAAGATAATTTAAAGGCTTATTAATTTTCTTTCATGGCCTTTTACCACTTAGGTACTCAAGCCCTGGAGGTTATTTTGATCTGTTGGCGTACAACCTCTCAAGCATGTGCTGTGTTGACTTTGTCAAGGCACACGAACTGGCAACCCGTGGAGCATTTTGGGGATCTCACTCGGCCTCGGAGCAACGTCGTCGACCATTCCACCCCGGTGTCAACACCATGTGCCTATTCACCACGATCTCTCACACTCTCCCTCATCATCCCCAGACAATCAGCAGAGTCGGCACAAACGCTTCTTTCTTTCCGCATTTCCGACAGAGACTCTCATCAGCCCTTCCTCACCATCACATCTATCAATCTTCAAACAAGACGTGTGAGACTCGAGATACCAACTACGGCTGCGGTCACACGCACGCTACCACCATCTACTGCGAGAAATTCCGAACCCATTCCCGGAAGCTCACTTCGCCACTTCTGCGATGAGGTCAACCACAGGGAGAGAGATTTCACGGATCAGAAGTGTTTGTCGAAAGATTGCCAGTGGGAGGGTCCCGATGGTCTGGTGTCTTTCCCTGCTTTTGAGCGCCCCCAGACGATACGCTCATAGCAAGGAAGAGCAGCATTTCTTCCAACAAATGAGCTGCCGACGACAGAGCTTCACACAAGAGATACGACATAAAATGGAAGCTAGTTTACGACCGAGGAGAGAGAACGCGAAAAATGCTGGATCATCAGCAGCAGAAGGACAGGAAGAAGGACTCAAAGACATCGTCCCCCTACCACACCACCTGGCACTACAACAGTACTTTCCCATCACATATTACCTTGGGCCCTAATCACCCCATTTCCCTCAAGCGATACCCCGATCCCCTTTCACTTAATAGCACCATTTCTCTCACCTATCCCCCAAAAGATCCGAGCAATGCTCTAATAAAGAACCAATTTTCTTCATACATTTTTGTCTCTTCTCTATGAGTGAACGTTGCCTGCTGACTAAGCACATCATCCCACCTCTCAAAAAAGGGGGTCACAGCACCATTTCGTCTCTCATCTCCACTTCACCAAACAAAGGAGTTCACCACTCACCCGTTCACTTACCAGCAGCCGCCACCAAAAATGACAACCCCCCTCCCTCCCCTCCCAGGCAATTACGCCACAGCCCTTAACCTCATCGATGCAGCCCACGCCCAAGACCCCCGGCCCGGCCCCAACGACGTCCCCTACGAGCTGCACTACGCCCAGAAAATGACTCGCTGGCTGGCCAGGCGGAAAAAGGATGCGTCGCCCGCCCTGCAGCTGGCCTGTCGAGCGCAGCATTTTCGACGGTATATCCCCCCCTTTCCCCCTCATAAACACTAAACTGATGATGTGAAATAAAGCTGGGAAATCCCCCGCTCAACCTACCCCATGACCCGGCCGGGCTACCTCACCTGGCGGGCAAAACAAAAGTCTGTCGCTGCCACCCAGCTCACCGAGCTCCTGTCCTCAGACGAGATCCAGCCTGGGCTGGACAAAGAAGAGATTGAGCGTGTAGCTGCGCTGGTGAGGAAAGAAGACCTCAAAAATAACGAGGAGACGCAGGTGCTGGAGGACGTGGCCTGCTTGGTGTTTTTGGACGACCAGTTTGATGATTTCGAGAGCAAGCCTGAGATTGACGAGGACAAGATAATCAGCATTCTGCAAAAGACGTGGGGAAAGATGAGCGAGGAGGGGAGGGGGTTGGCGTTGGGGATGGAGTTGAGTGAGAGGGCCAAGATGTTGGTCGGGAGGGCGCTTGCTTAGAACTGATAATGATAAAGCATGAGAGAATCGGTGTGTGTGATGTGTGTTTTGGTGGTGTCGGGTGTCGGACCCGCGGTGCTCGGGGGTCTTTGTCCCGAAGATCGGTAACTTCGGCCGAGAAAAGTGACGTCGCTTCGGGTCGGCGGTGGATGATATCCCCGGTGTAAGCCCGGACTCTTCACCTCCTCGCTCAACAACCAACATCGGTCCCATCTTCATCACAAAGTAAACACCAAAAAAATAAATAAAAATAAAAAAATGTCCCGCAAGATATCCCCAGCAGAACTATCCCAACATAATTCCCCCAGTTCCCTCTGGCTAGCAATCAACGGCCTAGTCTACGACCTCACCGCCTTCGCCCCCTCCCACCCGGGCGGTCTCCAAATCCTCCTTCAACATGCCGGCCAAGACGCCTCAGTCCCCTACAACAAAGTGCACTCGCCCTCCCTAATCCGGACTTCCCTTCCTCCAACAGCACAAATCGGATCATCTGACTCGATCCAAACCCCCGTTCCCCAGATATTCTCATCTGTGCCCACCAAGCCCCCATTATCAACCTTGATCTCCCCCCATGACTTCCCCCTCGCCGCCATCCCCTCCCTCACCCCAAAGGCAACCGCATTCATCTCCTCCGCCGCAACCGACTGCCTCACCCACCGCGCCAACTCCTCCCTCTACTCCCACCTCACCCTCCGCCCCCGCATCCTGATCAACGTCTCCACCCCGACCACCCCCCTCGTCACCACCATCCTCAACTGCCCCGTCTCATCACCCATATTTATCTCCCCCACCTCCCTGGGGAAAATAATCCACCCGTCTGGTGAAAAGGCCATAGCACTGGCTTGTTCCAACCTCGACATGGCCCAAACAATCAGCACGTCTGCATCCTTCACCCTGTCGGAGATTTTATCTGGGCAAAATACCTCTCACCCGGCGTTTCTGCAGTTGTATGTTGATAAAAACAGGGTTAATTCTGAGAGGGTGATTGAAGAGGCGGTGAGGAATGGGGTCAGGGCGGTGATGGTCACGGTTGATGCGCCGGTGCCTGGGAAGCGGGAGGCTGATGAACGGATCCCCACTGCTGCTGGGGGGGAGAGACTGGCTCCGATGGCGGGGACGGCAGCTGCTGTTGGGGACGGGAAAGGGGCGGCGTTGGGGAGGGTGATGGGGGGGTATATTGATGATTCGTTTTCGTGGGAGGATTTGGGGTGGGTGAAGGGCTTGTTGCCGGAGGGGGTTAAGCTTGTGTTGAAGGGGGTGCAGACTGCGGCTGATGCGGTGAGGGCGATGGAGACGGGGTTGGTGGATGGGATTGTCTATTTCCAACCATGGAGGGAGGAGTCTTGAGACTGCCACCGGGACGATTTTGGTGCTGTTGGAGCTGCAGAGGTGTTGTCCGGGGGTGTTTGACAGGATGGAGGTGTTGATTGATGGGGGGGTGAGGAGGGGGACGGATGTGTTCAAGGCGTTGTGTTTGGGGGCGAGGGGGGTGGGCTTTGGGAGGGCCCCCCTGTGGGCCTTGGGGCTCTATGGGAGGGAGGGGGTGGAGAGGTATTTGGAGATTTTGAACGATGAGCTGGTGACGACGATGAAGATGTGTGGGGTGACGAGTTTGGAGGAGTTGCACCCGGGGTTGGTGAACACGAGGGCGGTCGATCATTTGGTGCCGGAGAGGGTGGGTGAGGAGCATCCCTATGCGAAGTGGAGGAGGAAGAGTAAGTTGTGAGGCGCGAGGTGGATTGTGTGAGTGGCGGTGGGCGGTGACCACGGGAGGTCGAGCTGATGTTATGGGCCGACTGAGCGAACATGAGGAGAAGAGGCGGGACACCAAGAGACAAAACCACGGTATATATACCACCTTCCTCACCCACCTTCCAACAGCAGCCCTGTAATCTTGACCAGGGCGCCACACTTCGTGGTCAGGACAAATGGTCAAGGTGGAGGGGCTGCTGTTACCTTCCCCCGCCGGGAGCTTGCAACACCGATAGCTCCTGAGTTCGATTCGAAGTAAAACCACCGGAGTTTTTGTAGCCGGCCACCTCTCCCAGACACGTGTCTGGGTGGGATGGCCCGGTAAGCTTTTGCCCTTTTTCTTTTCTTTTCTTTTTCTTCTTTTTTTTTCTTCTTTTTTTTCTTCTTTTTTTTTCTTCTTTTTTTTCTTCTTTTTTTTTCATTATCTTAATATCTGGTATTTTTGCTATTACCCAGTTGAAGACCTCTGCTGTTTTGTTTTTGACCTTTTTGAGGTGCAGGAGTTGTGGGAGTCTCGAGTGTTTTGTTTACCATGACTTGCGACTCGACCTCGAGCTTCTCAACTCAACGTGTCTTGCTCGCACTGTTACATGTCCACCAAACAAACCTACAAAACCCACATCAAGTCAGGTAAACATCGTCTGAAAGCATTATCCTACATACCACTTGAAACCACAAGCGCAAACAAGCAATGAGAACAACTCACAGGAATCATATCCTAGGCATTACCCTAACCCTATTCCCATCCTCCGCCACCCCTGACAACAGCAAAACAAAAGTCAACAAAACAAACCCCCTATTCCCACAACCATCACAACTCCTCCTCCCCATCCTCAACAGTAGCCTGATAACAACCCTTATCACACCCACCTCCTTCCACCTCAGCCTCATCAACATCCATCCCCCCATCCAACCCCCCAAAACCCCACGTCTGCCCACCTTGCACCGTCTCAGTAAAATAATCCTGCCCCTTCTCCCTCCCCTTCCCTTTATCCCTCTTCCCCCTCGTCCCCTCCCCCACCTGTTCCCTCTCCCTCTCTTTCCCCTTACCCTTAACCTTCCTACTCTGTTCCCCAACCTCCTCCCCCGTCCTCTTCTTCCGTCTCGAAATCTGCTGCAACCGAGCATAATCCCCCTCATCCAACTCCATCTTCACCTCCTCCCCTTGATCCTCCACGTCATACCCTCCCTCCCCAAACTCCCCCTCCGGATCCCTCACCCTAACAACATCACAATGCCGCCTCCACACCCGTTCGGCAAACCCAAAAGAGGCCTTTTCCTCCCGTCTCATCATCTCTTCTCTCTTCTTCCGATCTTTTTCCTTTTCCTTGTGGTGGTGGGAAGAGGTTGCTGTGAGGATAGCGTAGTCGGCTAGGTACCCCACTGGGGGTGTGTATGCTGGGGCGCCGGACATCATTTTGTCGTATTCACCTATTGTCATGACGCAGGGTTTGGTGGATTGGGATTTTAGGCGGGAGGTGAGGTAGGTTTGGAGGGGGGAGGTGGTGGTGGTGGTTGTTTCGTGGGTTGGTGGTGGTGGTGGTGGCGGGTTAGGGTGAGGAAGAGGGGTAGATTGATTAGGTTGCGGGAATGGGCCTGACACGTTGTTGTCTGGATTTGTCCATGGATCACACGCCGGTTCAGGGGGCGGTCGAATCCCCTGTGTGAACCAATTAACCCAGTACTCTTCGTCCCCTTCCGTGTCCCGCACGCCGGCAGGTCGAAACTCAGACGACGGCATCGTCAATCCGATGGATCCGGTCTTCCAAAACCAGGAGCTCAGTGCTGAAGGCTGCTGATCTGACATCAGAGGCTGAAGAGTCGCGGTTTGACGAACCTCCTCCTGCTGTGGATAATATTGCTGGTAACCACCCTGATACTGCCCCTGTGCCTCCAACAACGACTGCGGTCCTGCCAACAGTTAACACCACCCCAGAACCCATATCAGCATTCCCGAAACTCACCTCTACCCCCCTCCCTACACCCCTCACACCTCCCATGCCCACAAGCAACCTCATAAACAATCTGCCCTCTCCCCACAATCTGCCCCCCACAGTACCGCCCATCCCGATTCCTAAAGTCGCACTGACAGCACATCCACGCTATTACCATAATGGTCGGTAACACCACAGCAGCAAGCTGACAACAGCTTGCCAGCAGCAAAAAAAAAAATCCAAATCAGAAACAAAAAGGAGTAAAGAGTTAACCAAAAAAAAGAAATGATCAGATCAAAAGAGAAGAAGAAAACGGCCGAGAGCCCTTTTATACACACACACACACACACACGCACGCACACACAACACTCGCACTGCGCTGGCTACCAGCAGCATCATGCTGTGTCTTCCCGAGTCAACTGTGCGCCCCCGTGGTCCCCTGTGTCACCCTTGACACAAACACCAACAACACGGGAGGCTGCACACAGGGGCGCCTGTCACGTACAACCAACCGGCCGCAGGACCATGACACGTTTGAGGTTTAGAGCTATCCATTGGGAAAATGATTTGGTCTTGGAAATACTCGACAGGCTTAAGATAATTGCTTAGTGACGCTGATCAACCGTGGTGAGGCCTTGAAAAGAAATATCCACGCTTCCAGAAATGTACCAAGCCCTCCAATCCAGTGTATGAAAACGGCCTCAAAAAACATAGGCAGTGCCTTGAAACATAAAGACGAGGCGTCAGAAAGCATCGAGTAAGCCTTGGAAGAGAGTGAACGATGCTCCAAGAGGCAGTTGATTGACCGCCAGTGTTGTTGGATTCGTCATTGCCGTCAGATCCTTGCTTGTCGTTGGATCCGCCATTACCATCATCCTTGACAGCAGCTGGAGACGCAGCCGGGGCTGGAGACGAGCCGTAGGAGCACGCAGGAGACGGGCCCCGATTGCCATTGGTAGGTGCACCGCTACCGCCGTTGATACCGCTGTCGGTGCCGCCGGGAGGTGCAGTGGCATCCACAACCGCAGTCATGGGTGTCTCTTGGGCGGGAGGCTGCGGGGGCACCAAGATGGGTTGAACAACAGGCACAGACACAGGGCCATGTTGTTCCAGACCAAGTGCAGGATCGGTTATCGAAAAATCGGCAATGCCATCACGGAGGCCGTCGGGGTAGTGGAACGGAGGGCTTCTGGGGAAGAACCCCGGTTCCTCATGGGGAAATTCGACGTCGTGGTAACCTCCCATTGCTATTGTCTGTCAGCTCCCGAAAGGTGAAAGTAACGAAAGAGCAACATGCGCAGCTCGGGATCTTGCGTGCAATCCTTGCAGCATCTGTGGTGACCTCGGGTTCCTCTCCCACTGCAGGTATCATTCGTGCATCTACCGCCCTCTTCGATTTCTGTCCCGCATTTGCAGGAAGACCATGGCCTGCCCTGGCAGTAACAATCCCGGTATACGCATGGCTGGGAGGAATAGAGTGTTGGTGCAGAGCTGGCGGCGGTCCAGGGATCGGTCGCCTCTGCCTCGCTGCAGAGTTGGGTTCGGGACCGGCCCTGGGATGGGCAGGCTGAGCAGAGGCTGCGTGCGGAGCTGAAGGAGTGGCAGGAGTGGACGATGGAGTGTCTGAAGCACATGTTGAGGGGGTCTACAAGAAGATGGAACGTAAGTGGTTGTGGTAGATGGATGGCTTGGTGTTTAGAATGGGTGAAAAGTCCATCCTCGAACTGGGTCGTCCTCAAAAAGTGCATTTGGGATTCAATGTGTGCTAGAGAAAGGTACAGTTGAGTTGAGGAGGAAAGATCAAGGCAGCGTCCACTTGGACGACAGGCGGAGTGGACCTAGCCCTGGGAGGCTCTATCTTTGCTTGAGATCTCAAGGTTTCTTAAGACATTTAGTCAGTGTTGAAACGAGATCAGCGGCACTGGCTAGTCATCGCGGTCCATTCAGTGCATCTGCAGCACATCCATGGTCTTCCCTGATAACGGCAAGAACTGCCGCATATAATCTGAGTGGCATCTGCTGCTGGATGGGCGTTGCCGAAGGACAAGCATTGGGTCTGACGTAGGGACATTCACAGGGGCGAATCTCTAAGTGACAACTGCGCATCTTCGCAGAGCTGCGGAAAGTATGAAGGTTCTTGATAGAGTGGCGAAAAACGGGCCAACTTGAAGAGTTGCGAGATAGGTAAGGTGGTTGGATGAGTGTTGTTGCTGATGGGAAGCTGGCAAGAGTACATGCTAAGCTGGGGAAATCACTGGCAGTCCTTAAATATCTACACTGAAGAACATACTGGCAGCAATTGGTTCTGTCACATGGAGACTGATGTCAAAGTCTGGATCTCGCGGCTGTAGTTTCCTTGTGTATTCAGTTTCATGCTTCATATTCTTGCCCCTTTTCCTGTTTGCTTCCACGTCACAAAAGCATCAAGAGTTCTCTGCTGCAGCCAGAGAGGTTCTTCATCATACCTCAATGTACCAGTATAACTGCCTTGTCATGGCCATCATCAACTCCTCCACTTGCTCTCCATCACCATCACCGTCTTCATCTTCTTTCCATGGCACCAGCATCTGCAAGCGAGCAACACTCAAGCAGCCCACCCTCCACAGCCTTCACCAGTTCTCATCGATTCCAAAGTCTTATCGCAGATCACAATGTCCGGAGCTAAAGGAGGATGGTACTGCCCTACTTGCAACTTCCTTTGGGATTCGAGCATACAAAGATGCCACGACGACGGATGTCGCGGCCAGCCACCGCTTCAACATTCTCCCCAGGCTGTGCATTATCCTGCGCCTGCACAAGCCCAGAACCCAGCTGGCTACAATGCTGTTGCTCAGCAGCAGCAGCAGGCATACCAACAGGCGCAGACGCAGGCGTATGCACCCCAGCAACAGCAGGGACAGCAGCTTCAACGCGCGCACCAGTGCTATGCCCCACAGCCCGGTCAACAATACTACGCCCCAGGATATTCACAAGCCCAGTCGAGCCAGCAGGCTTGTGCGGGCGGGGGTTTACTACTATCAGCAGCAGAATCCCGCTGCGCAGTCAGGAGCTCAGGCGTATGTCGCTGGACAAGGTTATCCTGGACCAGGTTATCCTGGGCAGCAACAACCGCAACAGCCACAGCAGCAGCAGCAAAATCGAGTGCTTCCGCCCCCTCAAAGTGACTGGGTCTTGGATCCCGTTAGTCGACGCTGGCGTCCGCCGAATAGCTTTGGCGGACATGGCGGCCAAGGGGGACAGAGCCAGTGATGGGTTTCATTTCCATTGCTAGTTTGCTTGTGCCTGTGATCTTTATTGTTTAGAGTCTTTTAATATCTAGTTTATGCTGCCTGGTTGTACTTTTGTTGGTTTGTTTTACATTCCCATAGCCCCTTTTTTGTGGGTCCCTCTCTCTACTCAGGGGGTGATTTTTGGGGGGTTGTTGCTGGGCAGTGCGAACTGCACAATAGAAAGCTGTTCAAGGTACTTTCCAAATGGAGGTTGAATGAAGGGTAGTAAACAGTAGTGTAGAATAACTGATCGTGATCCTTCGGGTCTGTTTGCTTTTTGGCCGCTTGGCCAGGTCAAAGCTTGCCAGCAGAGATATATTCGAAGAAAATACTACAGCGTGTCTCTTTTATTGATTTGATGACCCCGCTGTGTTCTTGTCCACATGACGAGGTGAAAAATTCGAATCCTGATACCATGTTTGCCACTAGTGCTCATCTGAAGCCATGCCGTGAGGCTTGTTTGCAGACATAAGAGAGGCGCTATCAGATGACATTCTCAAGCTTCCTCGGTCTATTTCTCATCCGATTTTGTTGAGCTTTTACGGCTAAGTTGGAGGATTTAGTTGGGCTGGAGAGGGTGTTTTCTTTTGGCGGGGGGGGCGATAGATTTCTTTTGTCTGGTGGGATTGGGATGCTCCTTTTTTTGGTAGGACTTGTTTTGACTGGCCGGCCAGTTTTGTTTACATCACCCCTTTTTTCTGCTGAGCGGAATTTCAGGGGTGATTTCGGTGAGTTGTCGGCAGGGTGATGGTGATTTGTGCAGGCTGCTGGACAGATGAGGAGGCAATAAAGAGTACAGGGATTAGAGCATTGAGTGCACACCGTCTTATGATTATAGGCCTATCAGTACTTATTGCTTTGTGTTGTGTGACGACGGCGATGTCAGCTCTAATGACCTAGCTCCCAAATGCTTAATTTTGTCAGCCGCTTTCTCTTATCTCTAAATTTCAAGGGCTCATAAGGTTATAGTTATGCGTTGATGTACATCAAGGTTATGTCGTGGTTGTGAAAGCACCGAGTGTTATCTTCAAGTACGAGTTCCAAACTTCCCCATGAGTAGACAAAGACATCTTTCTGGCCAGTCGGTCCTCCCTCATAGAGATTAGATCTATTCAGGCTTACTTTCATCACAATGTTATAGGCAAGCTTGAAGTTGACAAAGTTTCCCTTCCAACTTAACAACCCTACAAGACTCCACTTGTTGATCCCTTGTCTCTCGTGCTACCCTCGTGGCTTGCGGTATTTCTGGTGGTTCAAGGTCATTCTGTCGCCGATGTTCAGATGCTAAGTCATTTCAAGCCATCAGACTGGATTGCTATGTCATGCTATTACACCAAATGGTCCGATTACCAATTTCACTCGTTTGCTTTGTTTCAGGAGGTAAGGTGACGTGGTTATTGTCTTCAGACGGTGTAGCCTCAGTGGCTCACTCTTCCAACATCCGATATTCTTCTTATATTTGTGGCTATAAGAGGCCCATTCGGCAGCCTCTCTGTAATCTACATCATTGTATCCAACAGCCGTCTTCAGAATCACCCAACTTTCATGATCCCGTCATCTTCGCATGTTCGTCGAGGTCTCGGTCGTTGTTGGTTCGAGTACACCCCTAAAAGTCTTTCTACGACGGCTGTTAGCCATGCCCAACTGAACTTGTGTTTCTTTCTGGACTGATAGAGGTTTTGTTGATGAAGATGTCGTGGACTGGCTGTTGGGTAATCCCTTAGTCCAGTGAACTTCAAAAGCAAAGAACCGCCAACAACAATCAGAAGAACCACCAACAACAACCAGTGATCATTTCAGAAACAGGGAGGACTGGCACACGCGTTGATAAAGGGAGCAAACACCCTTGTCCCTTGACACCATTCTTCATGTGGGTGTTGTTGCTGTTAGTGGCTTGATATTTGTGGTGGACGCCACTGATGCTTGGCTTCAGGTGGGTGGAAGAGGATCGGGTGACTATACCGAGTTGTCAACGGGTGTGGTGTGTCGAATTCATGTTCAGCAGGGTCGTTTAGGCCTTTGGTGGATCTTTCATGAGGTGTACTGATTACTGGGGAGCAACTCCAAAGCCTCCCATGACAAACCTCGATCACAAAATCAACACATCCAAAAACACAAACAAATCCACTCGAATCAACATCAATATGTCAAATCTACCATAAATACACCCTCCCCCTTCCCTCCACCCATCCCCTCCTTCAACACCAACACACAAATTTCCCCCATAAATACCAAAAAACCCAAATTACAACCGACAAGACAACAAAACTCCAAACACACACACAGACACATACCCACACACACCACCATCAGACAGACAGAATAGTATCAACACCAAAAGACAACCGTCGCCTGAGTTCGACGTATCGGGTATCATCGACCAACAGTAGAAAGACAAGAGGAGCATACAAATAATGCCAGAAAAAAAAACACAATAAACATTAAAAGCAGAAAAAAGATTCCACTGCAAAACTCCTTTTTGACCCGTCCACCCTTCCTTCCCTCTTAACCCCCCACCCTTCCCGGAAAACGTATGTACAGTATATGCATACAAAGATGATTGCGAGAAACGAGAAGCATGTCCCAGTTTGATGCCGGAAATTTGCGCGGAAAATCACCGAGTATATAAGGGTTGTATTATTTTCGAACTGGGGTTGTAGTATTCGAACAAGTAGAAAACCGTGATCGTCTTTCGAAGTCTCCGTTATATCATCCCTGGTGGCGCGCTTGGCTCGCCCTGCTCTGTCCTCGCTGGCGGCTGCGAGCCCGTGCTTGATGCTGGGTTCTTGTTGCTCGAATTAAGCCCTCGTTTCATCATCTTCCCCAAAACGGTCACTAGTTCACAGGCATCGTTGAACATGTCGTTGTCGATTCCTTCCGTGGCGTCATAGACCTGGGCGACTGTCTCCTTGGCCAATTTTCGACTTCCTTCGAAATCGTGGACACATTCGTATAAAAAGGCAGCATACTCTGTCTTGACGGACAGGCGTAATGAATGTGAGCCCCACAAGATCTTGTCGGCAAGTTCGGCAGCCTCCTTGAAGTACTGATGGGCTATTGGTAAATAATCGCCGGGCTTGAGAAGGAACGCTGATGGTGACTCAGGACCAAAGCCTGGTGGTGGCCCAACCGGTCCTCCTTCAAAATTTCGGCTTGGTTTTGCGCTTGATGGAGCACCGCCGTCATCCGCCGCGACTCCCTTGCCCTTGTCCAGTCGTGATTGTGGTGTATTCTGGGGGTCGGGTGTGTTGACGCCCATCGAAGATACCGGGGGCGTGTTGTGGAATAGGACGAAAATGTGGTAGAAGGAAGCACGCAGCTTGTATGCGAGCACCTTGAGTTCGGTATAGGCTCCCACCATGGGCACCACATACTGCTCCAGCAACACCAATCCTTCTCGAGAGAGCCATATTATGTGAAATGACAGATCCAGTTGGGCTGATGTGGGGGTTCCATCCGGCCGTCGTTGTTTCTTGGCCTTGACAAGCTGATGTGAAAGGTTGATGGAGAGTCCCAGGATCTTGTACAGGACGGAAGCAAGCAGGGGGTTTTCGTGCTCGACGGCCTTGGCGGCCTTGCCGAGAAACTTTTGATCAACTTCGGAGGACGCCATGAAGCCAGACGGAGGAGAATGGGTCTGTGACCTCTTGCCCTGTTAAGAGAACGCAAAGCAGAGGAAGAGCCCGGCTACGGTGAAGCTATGCAATGGGTTGGTGCAACCGAGGTGTAAAGAACAAGTAATGCAGGGCCGGTCCTATAAGAAAACCGAGAGTGCGGGTGACTGGTGGTTGCTTGGGGCTGATCGTATTCTGCATCAAAAGTCGAAAAGCATCCGAAACGGGAGGGGCTACTTGGTCTGTGTTTAGTATAGTCAAAGAGGCTCTTGATCCGGCCTCGCCGTGGAGCCACAATCAAGCGCCACGAGCCGCAGTCCGAGGAATGGCTCCGTTTTAATTACAGAAAGGACTGTAAAGTTGGCATGAGAATCGGGTGTCGGATGTTGAGCATGACGATTGGAGGAGTACTGACCAATATGATACAGCGAAAGCGGGCAGCCTCCCAAAGCGCAATTTGTACAAGTTGAACAGCGAATCGGCAGCCTCGTGAAACAGGCAAGACAATCCGTCGTTAGGAGCGAGAGGACAGGAGGAAGAGTCGAGGCTGGGAGTCAGAGGCGGTGGTGGTGAGTGTGCGGTTTGCGAGACTGGGCATGGCGACGACGTCCGGGTCTCGATGGCATGTGTCGTTTACCCGCAATGGCAGATGTCAAATCCTCCCCAGGTTCTGCAGCTGCGGCAGCGGGAGCGGGAGAGACCGCAGCAGATCCAGCAGCAACGAGCGGCAGCAGCACAAACGCAGACGCCGTTGGACGTTGAGGGGATCCCCGTATCGGTGGACCAGGGGCAGAGCGGTCAAACCGGCGACCCAGAACTGGCGATGACGGCCCCGTAAAATCAAGGCGAGAGCACACTTGGGGGCTGGGGAGGTCGAGGTGCCAGATGTGGAGTGTCTTTGAAACCCCTGGAGCCGTGATAAGTGGTAGCGTCGCTTCAGATGGCCAGCTCCGGGAGCCAAGTCGAGAACGGGAGCCGCGGTGGAGTCAAGGGCCGGGCGCGGCGGAAGTCGAAGTGAGGTCAAGAAGCTGAAGTTCACGATGGGATTTGAGGTCGCAGACGAGGTGAAAGGTGAAAATACCAGGTCGGCTGCGGGCTCATGCAGGGTGAGGTCGGGAAAGTAAACAAGGGGGGTTTTGAGCCCCGCGTAAGCAGGATTTCGAATGTGAGTGTGGGCGGCGGCAATCTAGCCAAGAGTGGACGAGGGCAAAAGCGCAAGATGCATAACCGGGGGTTGGGATCTTGTCTTGTTTCTTGTGCCTTGTGTTTTGTCTCTTGTCTCCTCTTGTTCTCGAAGCGCTGGAGCAAAAGAGAGGAAGGTAGGAGCAGCAGCAGCAGCAGCAGCAGCAGCAGCAGCAGCAGCAGCAGCAGCAGCAGCAGCAAGGAACAACGAGGGTCCAGTCTCCTGCATGAACGAGTGGACCTGCCTTGGACGCGATGCGATGCGATGGCGGCTTGCTTCGATGGGATGACGCAGATGCAGACGCACCGACAGCTGCAACGTCAGGGCAGGGAAGAAAAAAGAGCGACTTGGGACGAAGGGGGGCCCTTCAAATGAGCGACTGATGAACGAGAGAGGAAAAGGAGGGAAAGGGAGAGAAGGCAGAGAGAGCAGCAGGCCCAAATGAGTGACGGACAAGGCGTGGTTCGAGATGCAGGATGTTTCTGCAAGGTGAGTTGTCCACCGCCTCCTCTCTGATGATACGCTGATACGGCGACCAGAAGACGCGCTGCTGCTGGGCCCTGGGTCCTTAGACGCGGTTCTGTGGGGGGGAGGAATACGGTCGGAGAGCCGCAGGCGCCGGCAATCAAGCGCCGGTCGTGTATCAGGAGCCTTCAATGGCAAAAAGAACGGACGACACACGGACGAGATCCGAAGTCGAAAAAAAGACGGCGGTGATTTGACTGGTACCGAACATATCAAACAGCAAGATCGAAGGCGGGGGCAAGGGGTTATGAGGGTTGGTGTCCCTTGGGGGTAGTTTCTGTTAGTATCACCTGCAAATCTCCTGCCATTCACTAACATATCTGCATTGTTTCATAATTCCCACCACCCAAAAGCGGCTGAGTGAGACAGAGCGACGTCCCGATTTTCATTGTGTCTCGGGAACCACGTTCTCGTCGAATATTTTTATTCTCAAGTAACATTGGCCTCACACGATTGGTCTTCGGTTGCACATACACCTCGTGCTCGTCTTCGTTTTACACTACAACCAGGATTCAACATCTCGAACTGGACTGGTGATGTAATCACAGGATCCCTTCCCCGCAATCATGGCAGCATCGATGGCATACTCGTCTCTGCTCAATTGAGCACAAGACAGATATCAAATCAATCAATTGGACTCCCAGCCACCTCCATTTTTTCTGACGACAACAACAACAACAACAACACACAAAATCAACGCGGTCCAGCAACCAGCATCGAAAAAAGAAGAGCCAAGACCTGGCCTGGGCATCTGCGGCCACCCCTCACTGCTCACCACCTACCACTCAATGGCCAGCATCGCCATCTTTACACAACAGCATGGTACTCCTGACAGCTCAGCGCTGGCTCCCGCTGGCCTCGAAATCGCCCGTCTCCGCACCACTTTCGTTTGCCTCATCAGAAGAAACTGGCGGTGAAGATGGATCAGGCCCCTCGCTCAACCTCCATGGACCACGGCCCGACTGGAATTGGTATCCAAAACAGCATCTTTAATCAGCTCCAGCTCCAACAGTAGCTGATAACCGGTCGTCCATCAGGGACACCCTCGGTTTATCGACCGTCGTTCGGCCCCCAACCACACCCAACACGAGCCGCACCCGTTTTGGGACGCTCAGCAGTACGTATAACGCTCCGATCGACCTCGATTGCTTCACTGCTCCGTTACACTGCGTCGTACTGGCTGGGCCCTGCAGCCCTATAAAAGCCCGCCGTGGGAAAGAGCCGTCTCTTGTGTTTCGAGTCCCAATATTCCCGGCCGACGTTCGGGTAACAAAACCAGGTTGACGAGAAGAGCCTCCTTTTTTGGCTACTAATCATCTATCACCGATTCCCCATACTTTGGGGTCCCGAAGGCGGGAGGCGGTCAGACGTGTGAGTGAGTGTTGCACAGCTGCAACCTCAGGTTCTAGGAGCATTCCTATCTCGAAAGCCGCACAAGATCAAGTGATCGAGTCCGAGACTAAGGAGCCTGCGACTCGGGGGCAGAGCCATCTACTGCTACCGGGGGCCGCTCGCCGTTCGGTCGGGTTCCGTGTTTCCATTGGACCGTACGGCACGGCCCAAAGACGGGGAATAACCACTTGCTTATGCCGGCCATGTTGCGGTGTGGAGTCGACGTTGGTGAGATAACCCTTCCCCCCGAGTTCCCCTTTCCGGCAGCTTCCATGGCCTCATCATGCCTTTCAGCCTCTGAGGCGCCGGTGAGAACTTTCAGACTGGCTGTGTTGGGAGGGAGGTAATGGGGTTGCCGTCGTCCTATGAAAGACTCGAGGTGCCCAGCCTGCAAGGCAGCTGAGGCTGCACCTATCCTCCCCGATGCATACCACCTCGTGCTGCATGGATGAAAAGGTTCCAGCGAGTCAGCGTCGGGGCCCGGTTAGATTGCGGCAGAGAAAGAGAGGCATACGCAACACGATCTGCCATCTGCAGAACACACACCATTTTTCCCACCGCCGAGCTGAGAGCCGAAGCTGCAAGCAAGCAAAACGTGGTAGTAGTAGTAGTCAGCCCTCTCCGAAGCCAGGAACAAAAGCTGGATGGGGCCTGCCCTTTGAGGCGATCTGCACGACTTGTCTTGCTGCGCATATGAGGCGGGAACCATCTCGCCACTGGCTCTTCAGCTGGTTTATCCCCATTTTGTCTGTCCCATCCCACCGCAACACTGCCAGTCCCGATATTCCGGTTTGTGGTTGCCTAGGCTTTGGACTCGATGTGGGATGTTATACGAAGAAGGTGAGTTGGAAAGTTGCCAAAAGGTCAGGTCTCATCTATATCATCTCACTTTTATTCCTGCATACCCTACATTCCATTTTGTGATAGTAGTTTAAAATAGAAACAAGGCGTTCTTTCTTTCTTTCTCTCTCTTACTTTAAGTTTATGTGTCCCCTGTTCCTTCCTATCCCATCCAAAGACTTCACCTCTCTCATCACCAGACACGGAGTACGCACAATATATTCTCTCTCTCTCTCTCTCTCCATCTCTCTCCACCTCGGGCCAACCTTAACTTGACTTTGCCTCAACCCTCATCCCGCGGACATCCCACGGCCACAACTACCATACATCATATCTGCATCATACCACATACAGAGACACAAGATGTGTAAATACTACGCCCACGCCTTCCTCTGCAAGCACATCACCTTCTCGTTTGCCACCTTTTGCGACCCGGCCAGCATGATCCAGACCCGCTGCGGGGAGAGGTCGATATGGCAGACGATCCGCATGGAGGAGTACTGTGACGACTGCAAGGCTTATTACCCAGCACCGTCGTCGTCGGCTCACTCGTCAAGGCGGCGGTAAATCACTACCACAAAAAGGAAACTAGGGGTCACTGTACCGCATGAATGATAATTTGAAACTACCTTATGAACAACACAAAAGCAACGCCAGTACGAGACGACATGAGCATGGTATGAGGACAAGACAAAGACACACGACTATGACGAGTACGAATTAGACGACGACGATGACAACGACCGGCAGATATTCTTTTATTATGGGCGGTGGGCATTAGCGACAGGGTATTGCCTAGACTTTTTTCTTTTTCTTTTACCGACACCGGGAACATATACGAACGTTATGATTGGGATGTTATGATACGAGTTTCTTCATGAGATGGGTTATGACAGAATGGGAAATTTGCTGTATGATAGGACACTTGGGACTCCTCTCCAACCCTGGTGGTTGAAGGGGGGGAGTATGATGATCATCATTATTATAAAGTTTACACAACAAATATTTTTTCATATATCCCTTTGCCTAAGCTTTTTTTTTTTCTTTCTTTTTTTGGTTGGTATGTTTACAGTGGGCAGGGCCACTGTTGAGCGTATCTTGAGTGCCCGGGGTTTTCCTGTGGTTTTCTCTTCTTCTTCTTCATTGACATCATATCCCTTTGTCTTCACCTCTGATTCCCGAGGAGACCCAACACGAATATACCTCCCGCAGATACCTCACACACTCAGCATCAACAAAAACAATTGACGACGACTCATCCCTCCCCCCACAATCACTAATCTCACACACCACTCACCTTACCCGACAGCCCGGATATCACCCCCTTCCCGAAACTCAGCCATAACACGTCGTGCTTGCTGCACAGGTTGTACTGACCTCCGCATTTCCTTCTCC